GACATACTTCCATGCCTCAACAAGAACATTCACTGCCATTGATTTATCATTAGCAACACCAAACATGTTTACAATGTTTTTATGGGAGGTTGGATCTAATTCAATTTCCAGTGACTATTTCCCAATATTTCTAAAATACAGAGGCAGAGAAAGCAATGAAACAGCTTGTCCAACATACTGGAAACTGGATACAGCTGATTGGCCTGCATTCTCCTCTATGGCCAACATCTCTGAGGAAATGGTCAATATTACTGATATCAATGATGCAGTTGAAGCTGTCACTTCCAGCATTATCCAGGCAGCTGAAAAAAACAATGGGGAAAACATCAACCAGATATCCAAATTATCCAAAGTCATGGTGGAACCAGGATTGCAAGGCAGCATACAAAAAAAAAAAAAGAAGGCATGGGGGATTTTCAGAAGATACTCTACTGCTAACAATTTAATTGCATTTTCAAAAAGCAAAAGCAAATGCCAGAAGAATAAGTAGGCAAAGCCAAAGGGATTCTTGGAGGAAGTATGTATCCAGTATAACATCTTCCACTAGCTCAAAAGCAGTCTGTGATAGTCTGTAAAATTAATGGGAAATATCTCTCTCAGTCTTTGAATATTATTATGCCATTATTTTCCAGCATGGACAGTGATATACAAGGTATTGCTGATTTGTTAGGTGAAACCTTTTCCTCTTCATCTAGCAATATAGTGTATTCAAGAAATTTTCATGCTTATAAGCCCAAACAAAAAACAATGTTTGAATTTCCATTCCTCATCTAATGAAGAATACAATGTGTCATTCATCAGGATAGAACTACATACAGCTAGATAGAACTACATACAGCTAGATAGAACTACATACAGCAGTATTCCCTGTTGCACAGGAAATACTGCTGTAGGTCTGGATAAAATCCACTACAGCATGATTACTAAGGAAATTGTTTAACAGACTTTTAATCTTTTAAGTCTATTAACAGAGTATGGACAGAGCATACTTTCCTGACACTTGGAGGCTATCGAATATTATTTCTATTCCCTGGCCAGGCAAAAACTGTAAGAATCCTCTAACTACAGACCAATCTCTCTGACGAGTTGTCTCTGTAAACTCTTTGAGAAATAATGGTAAACAGATGTTTGATATTTCTCTTAGAGAAAAAACGATTACTTTTCACCACATCAGAGTGTATTTTGTAGAAACAGAAGATAATTTAGTAAATCTCGAAACATCTATACACAAAGCGTTTGTTCAACAACAGCACTTAGTGTCTGTGTTCTTCAATATAGAGAAGGCCTACAATTGTTGCTAGAGATATTCTGTAATCTGCACTGCAGGGAGATTTGCCAATTTTTATAAAAAATTTTCTACAGAATCAAAGATTCCAAATTAGGATGGGCATCACTTTATCTAGTCCTTTCACACAATAAGGTGTTCTTCAGGGTTCTATTTTGAGTGTGACTGTTCCTGATTAAAATTAGCAGCATAGCTAACTGTCTCACTCTCAATGTGAAACACACTGTATGTGGATGATGTTCAGATCTCTTGTCAGTCCAGTAATATGAATTTCATTGAGAAACAACTGCAAACTTCCCTAAATTTCATATACAATTGATCCAAGACCAATGGTTTCACCTTTAACATGGAGAAGACCTCGTGCACTCACTTTTGCCGAAGGCATGGTTTACACCTCGATCCTGAAATTCACCTAAATAGTATCATTGACCATTGGAATTTTAACACTTAGTTTCTGGTTGTTCTGTTTGACCAAAAATTGACCTTGCCACACTTACTCAACTTGAAGAGTAGATGTCAAAAGTCTCTAAACCTTTTAAAGGTACTATGTTGCTCATCCTGGGAGCAGACTATGGTCAGGATTTATAGGGCCTTTGTCTGCTTTAAGCTGGATTATGGATGCATTGTATATGGCTCCACACGAGAATCTACCCTTCAGATGCTGGATCCAATCCACAAAGTATTGCATTTGTGCACTGGTGCTTTTCAAACTTCTGTCTAAAACCTGTATGTGGATGCTTATGAGGCCTCCACTATCACTCAGAAGAAAACAGTTGTCTTTCTTCTATTAAACTGAAATCTGACTAAACCTTCTGTTTATTCTACAGTATCTACATACTCAGCTGAAAAGATTATTTGCAGCCCACCCATTTAGTGTCCCTACAAATATAAGAAGCATGATTGAACTGGACACAAGCAACATTTCAAAGCCCGAGGTTAATAGGAGTTGACCTAGGTGATATACTGTGATAAAAGTAGACCTTAGCTTAAAGCACTTTCCTAAAGAATCCACTCCAGATTACATGTATAGACACTTTGCAGAAATTCAGCACAGTCACAGGAATTTAATTCCTATTTACACTGATGGATCTAAATTGGATAACTACATTGGCTCAGCCTTCATCTGCCAGGATGAAATCAAGGCAAAAAACAAGTATTGCCAAATTCTTCCATCTTCATTGCAAATCTGAGGCTATCCATTTAACCTTAAAGTATATAAGTAGAAAAAGTCATCATTGCTGCATAATTTACACTGACTCAGTTAGTGCACTTCAGGCTTTGATCTCGTCCAAACCTAGTTCTCACTCCAGTGATTAAAATTTGTAAACTGATCTGCCATCTTTTTTGCAAGTAATTTCTCTCTAAAATTTTGTTGGGTCCCAGGCCATGTAGGTATAACAGGGAATGCTGACACAGCTGCAAATTTAGCTAGTCCTTTACAGCAAGTGTGGCCAACAAGTCTATCGTGAATGTAACGTGGAAACACAACTGTAGTGATATCAGACCTCCACATCTCCCTCAGATGTGGTTTTGTCAGTCCATGTGCAATCCATTTGCATACAGTTATAAAAGGGGAATAAGAAATGTACAAAAGGATTGCAAAACTAAAAAAAAAGAAAGGTGGGAAATGTACAAAAGGGTTGCAAAACTAAAAAAAAAGAAAGGTGGGAAGAGGGACAGAGAGAGGAGGTAGGGACACAGTAGACAGAGGAAAAGTGGTGGTCCCTGAAAGTGACAACGCTGAGTTTCGATTTTTCTTCATGTTTTAAATTAAATTGTGATTTTTCTTACCTATCTAAACATAGTATTTCACACCTCCCCTCACCACTTAGACTATGCCTATGACAACAAGTTGATCCCAACACATTGTTAGATAAAAAGTAGACCTTAGTACACAAAAGTTGGCTACCCCTGCTTTACAGCACTCAATGCCTAGCGAAGGAGGCAACTTGAAGCTAGACGTTAAAAAATGACTAGCAGAGAGATGGCAAAACATGTGGAATGCACAAGTCACAATAAACTATAAAAGATCAAATCTTTGATAGAAAATTGGACATAATACATTTATGAAAGGAGATCTGAAGTAATCCTTACCTCCTGAGGATTGGACATACTTGGCTGACTCATCAATATCTTTTGAAGGGTGATGATCAGCCAGTATGCCACTGTTGCAACTGTACTGTAAGTGTTACACACACACTGTGTAAATGCCCTAAATTTGAGGGTGCTCACACAAGTCATTTTGGAAGTGGAAGCTTGTCAAGAATTTTGAACCACAGGCCAAATCTTGACAAGCTACTGAACTTTCTGAAAGTTGTTAATTTTTACAAAGAGATTTGATTACTCATTTATTTATTGTAGTATAGTTCCCAGCATATTTTTTTGTCGTTCTGATAGTTAGGTTGTTGCATTTTGCGTAAGTTTGTACATGAAATAGATAAATATATGTACAATGTGTCATGGTGCAGTATAGCCTGTATGGCTCGTGCCAAACGACCAATCTTTTCAGTGTTCTTTTCTGAAAAATGTTGTGCCCATGTGTCTGAATGAAAAGTGATTACACTCAACAGGTTACCAGAAAAAAGAAAAAAAAAAGGGTCCATGTATAGCTGCTCATAATTACACATCCAGTTACTAATTACTAGTTTGCAGAGAGGGAGTTACATGTCCTACAGGGTCTTAGATTTGTTGGCTCAGAAGTTTACTAGGTGTTGACGAATAAGGAACCCAAAAGCAAAATTCAAATCTGACCATGGATGTGGAAGCCGTGAAATGAGTGCATACTATACCATTTCTGATTATGCAAAGGTATTTAAGCAATAAAGTGGAATTAAGAAAACAATGACTAGGCTGTTGGAGGAAAACCTTGAAATTCTCACACCTCGTCTCTCCAACTTGTCAGAAAAATAGCAAGGATTTTTTCTTTTTTTTGGGAGGTCATAGCAATATAGCATCTCCATCCTAACAAGCCAATAGTAGAAACTTTTTGTCATTTTTATATATCCATATGAAAATACAACATACAAATCTTGTTCCCCATATTTCAGTTCTTATGCTTTTCAAATTTATAATTATTTTTTCTATTCAGCTTACATTACTTTTGTGTGCCCTCTGTCATAGTATCATTTCCTTTAAATACAATAAAAACATTGCAATTTTTCTCAATGTTATTTAACAAAAAATACTTATATCAAAATTTTAAAATGTGGTATCTCATTCCAGATGGTTGGCAATATCCCATCTCCTCAGGATCTGGTAACCATTAATTACACTTTGTATATTGCAGTAGAGACTTGAATAAACCAAATCTATAAGTGTATTTCATTGTATTTCAAGATAATTAATGTCCAAGTTGCCAGTTCTGGCAACTCTGTTGGTTAGCTTTTAAATGCTACAATATACTTTGATATACTACTGTAAGAACTCATAAATGCTCCTATGTATGTAGTTGTAAAAACTAGGTACTGTGTAAAAATCTTAAATGTTTGAGAATTAGGAATTCGAAAAAACATCAAAAGTTAGGCCCTCAAATATTTACATTCACTTGTACATTTTTAAAGTTTTAAAAACATACAATAAATTTTATGCTCACTTTTTTGGACCATTCTATACTGACACTGTTCTGTAAGTAAATTTCTGTTTTAAAAATAAACATTATTGTATTAATATAAATAATTTAAGCACTAAGTACAGTTAAAATTTTATTACTATTTATGTATAAATACAAAAGATTATGAAGTTATTTAAGAAATAAATTTTTGAAAATTAAAATAATGACAAAATTTCAAAAATTTATTTTAAAAAATTCAATGACAAGATGCATGATGCAATATTATGAGAACCATGGTATTTTTTCTACAGACTCCTGAAATCAGTTTATAAAAAAAATTAATGTTCTGGTTCGGCGTCGTCAAACTGTCCGACATCCATCGGTTCATCTCCCGATCCTTTGTGTGCAATTCTGGATTCTGAAACACATTTAAGCTCTTTTAGTTTCAATGAATGTAAAAATTTTTTAAAGAAATATTATGGTTGTACCTGAATTATTAAAGTTACCGATGCCATCAAATCCACTTTCTGCTGCACTGACATCATACTCGGCACCATCATCTTCTGCATCCTCAAAACAGCCTTCTTCTTCTAATGAAAATAAATAATCTTTTCATTGAAATAACTAATTCAATTATTTATATAAAGAGAAATTTAACATATATAATTTATAACTACTAGAAAATTACTTTGCTAATAGAAAGCATTTTCAAGATCTAATAAGATTTCCATTTAATTAAATTGATATGTTTCTAACAAACAAGTTCAAAATCTGGATGACAATCTAAATTATTTTTATCAAATATAAAAATTCTGAACAAGCAAGACTCTCTAGCTCACTCAGTGTTGGTAGATTTGGTTCTTTTCATAATTTATTATCTGTTTATGTAGTTGATTACTTAGTGTAGGATTGAAAAAATTTTATAAATTATTTACATTTCTACATTATAATGTGAGAATTAAAAACGGAAATTATATAATTGTATTTAATTTTCTAATTTAAATAACTTATTGATCTAAATTTGTGTAGCTTTCTGATTGAGAGTCTCTCCTAAAGCAGTCCTTATGTCATTTCCTTCATCTTTCGATGGAGAAAATGATGATATAATTTTTACTACATGAGAAAATAATATGTTTTCTTTCAAAATTGTTAATAAACTAGTGTGAGAAGTAAATTTCTTCCAAATGTTTTTGCTAAAGAAAATGCCTTTGTCACTTTTATGACAAAAAGGGAAATTAACTTCCCTTATCTTTCAAATTCAACCATCTGGTTGTCCACCCCTTTGACAGTTTCCCAGCACATCCCATTAGTGGTCCAAAATCGAGATCTGCTATTGGTCAGAATTTCAGGATAAAACGGACAACTTCCTTTGATTGGGGAGTTTTCCAAAAAGTTTTGACTACTCCAAAACTGAGGCCCCTCATCACGAATCTTTTAACCTGTGTGCATAAAAGTTTCCACCAAGATCTCCACCACAGAGTCACCACCATTAGAACGCATCCACAAGAGATCTCAAGAAAAATCCTCAAGCTACTCAAGTCGAGGTAGTATACCCTAATCATTGTAAACTCTCTCTCACTTGAGAGATACATAGAGAAATACAGTCATTGGCTTGATTGTATTTTTGTTTTATTTTTATTAAAATTTCTTTGTTACTCTAAAGAAGTGGCCTCATTGATGAACTTGATTCCGTGCCAAAGTCTTGCTACTTATCCACAGTCCTCCCAACTCAAATGAGTTATTTAAGTTACTTAATGGCATACCTAATGCTAAATTTTTAGGCTGGTGGCAGGAACCTGACAGGAGACAATGGTTATAGATCACCTTGTCTCTGCACCTTCTTTAAAGCCAACCTACAGACTTGATTGCCAATTATGTGATAAAGAGTTTAAAGCTATACACCAACCAAAGCCGAATATTATCGGGCTAGAAACAGCTATAATACTAATAATTTAATAATGCCAAATTGTCTTTTAAATTTTAGTATTATAGCCATTTCCAGCCCAATAATATTTGGCTTTGGTTGGTGTATAGCTTTAAATGTATCAGGTGTAGTAATGATGTTTGATTAGATAAAGAGTTTAGTTATAACACTTTACCCCCGTTTATTCTCACAATAATAAATTAATGAAATGAAATGAAACTAAAAATATATAAGTTTATTGTTTTATATGATGAAAAATTTCAGATATAGTAAAGAGCTTTAGAATTAATGTTGTACAGTCGACCACCCTATAACACTGTTGATTATTCCTTTTTATATGAATTCCATGTTGTATGAGTCACTTAGATTTTACAAATACGTGAGCCGTTCACAGCCCAGCACACACATTTGTAAAATCTAAGTGACTCGTACAACAATGTTATACGGGGATTGACTGTATATTAATTTGTACATAAAATTTTATATTTATTTACAATAGTAAAGTCCCCCTTCATTTATTAACACTTTTATATATCACAACACATGCAAAAAATTTTTAAAATTATGATTAAATTACATGAAAAATCTAATTTTACCTTCTGATATAGAATCATTGGGATCTGGATGGAGAGCTTGACATTCTGTCATTGCTTTAAACATTGCATTCACTATAAAAGAAAAATATAAACATTTTGATATTTATATAATTAAAATATTTTAATAATGTCTATTTTTTAAATGATACAGACATCTCTTGTCAATTGAACTTTTCCCAACTATAGTTTTGAATAAATCAACTCTGGGTAGAAGTTGTAATAAAATATAACTAGCAGATAAACCCAGCAATGCTCAGGCAAAAAGTAATGATAGCAAAGATGAAGATTATTACATTATAGCCAATCTTACCCATTTTCACAGAATGCAAGAACTAGATTTCCCTGTTTCCAGACTAATCAGAAAATTTTCAGATGGGTCTAAAAATATGTTTGATTTCCTGCAAAATCACAAAAAAATCACAAAAAAACCACATCTGCATCTGTAAATGCTTTCTCTTAACACTTCCATTGTTAATACTTTCATTGTTAACACTTCCCCTGCGGAGAAGTGTTAATAATGTACAGTAAAGGAATTTTAAAAAATTCCTTCTTAGTGTACATTCTTGTGACGTACCCTAACCGTGTACCAAATTTCAACCTTCAACTCCTAACCATTTGGGCTCTACACTTACTATTATTATTAACCTATCTTGATTATATATATAGATAAACTGTGGATTTTTCACATTTTAATTTTTGCTTTAACATAAATTATACTGTATTTTAACACAGGTAAATTTTCTTTGATAATTATCATATTTAAAAGGAATAAAAATTTCTAATTATATAGCATGGTAATGCTGATCATTTTGTAAACTTTGTAAGGTTCAAAAATACATTTGTTGATTGCATCATAGCACTAATGATCCACATTTAAAGAAAATCAAAATGAAACCGGTTTTCAATTCTTAGCTTCTTAAGGATGAGCTATGATGCTTCTCAGCCAGTTTGAGAGAATTAAGATTTTATTCATTTCTTATACAACTTTAAGGTACAGTTGGGTTACATTCTAAAAACAATTCTACTCTGTTGTTGGTGAGGAATGCCTGTATACTATTTACAATTACAGATTACTGTCATGATTTCAAAATAAAAGTTTATTTTAACAATACTTAAGTTTTTGGAATATAAGCTCAGATATTAGTACATGATTGTCTAAACATGTAATGGTAAAATTAGCTATAAAAAATTTTAAATTTATCATGTATATGTTTTGATTAAGTATTTGAACATTTTTTGTTAGGTTAAGAAGGGTAATTACTCTTTCTACCATATTTTATTCAGTCATCATCATCAAAAATGATGATTCAAGATAGGATCAGTGAGTGACAGATACATAAAAGTTATCTCAATCAGCAAAACTTGTTTTAAAAAAATACTGTATCTTAGAAAAGGGAATGTCAAATTGTAATATGGTAATATTGCTTCTGCTTCCTGTTGTATCTGACAGATTGCATAACAATGTAATTTCTTGAATAATTATTATATTAATATTGAAAATTGAATGTATCATTAAAAAAACATACTATGTCCATTTTGAAATATTTGAAAGGTAAAATGTTTATATTAAAAAAAGAGAGCGATAAGGAAAAATACCAGAAGAATTTCTTTTTAAAACAAATTGAATATTCTTTTATCTAAAATTTTGCATGACATTTTAAAAGGATTTCAATGCCTGTAATAGCCTGTATGCTTATTCAGTAATTATATGGGTATATCAAGGTTTGTGCTAATGCGAAACACACAGAATGACACATTTTTTTTATGCAACTTGATGTACTATTTTTAACACTACACATCAATTTTTATTTGTAGTAAATTTCCAAGAAAACCAGTTTTTGTTTGTTTCTACAAAACAGAGTTAAATTGATTAATGATTTTTAACTAACATGAGAACTATTTTATTCCAATTCATTATTTCTAAGCATGAAACCTTCCCCATGATTATTTAACATTAATGCTACTGATGTCAAAGCTCTTGTAACAATGAGTCATTTCACAATGTTTACAGGATGTGCTATTTATTAATGCTTATCTGACACATTCTGCAAACTAAAATTTTTAATTAGTTAACATTGTTAATTAGAAAAAATATCTTTTTATGGAAAGAATTTCTGAATTATTAAGTTTTAAAGTAAGGTATTTTATTATTTAAAAATAATTTATTGTTAATCTGCAAGCATAAAACTACATGACTTCTAGAAGGAAAACATCAATTATTTTTAATTATTATTCATTAATAATCAGGTATCTATTACAAAAATATAAATTTATTAAATTTGTTCATTAATATTTTTCTGGAATAAAATGGAAGATTATTTAACTATGGCATTTTGCCAAACAATCAAAATTATTAAAACAAATTTGAAAAATGATAAATGGTACCATTTAAATCAGCTTTATAATAAAATAGTTTCTCAAAGTGGGCAATAATGCCCTCTTGTAGGCTGTGAGTAAATCTAGGGGGTGATGGAGGCAGGGTACTGAATGGTACCAAAGGCAAAAGTCGGGGTCAGTGACCCCGACTTTTGCCTTTTTGTTAACAAGTGTTAACAAGGAAAGGAAGTTGGGAAGTGTTAACAATGAAAGTATTAACAATGGAAGTGTTAAGAGAAAGCATTTACAGACGCAGATGTGGTTTTTTTGTGATTTTGCAGGAAATCAAACATATTTTTAGACCCATCTGAAATTATTATCTCATTTATTTTTCATATATGCCAAGTGAACGTAAATTAAATACAGACCAAACTATAACTCATAAAAAATTACACTTAAAAAAACTGATTAAAAATATTAAATTATTAAGTGTAATTTATAAAATAGTTATTATGTGTTATTTTTGTCTATTTATGTCAAAAATTTCAAAAGGCTGGTTGATGTCACAAATGTCACTGTAATGTTGATTCCAAGAAAACCTTTCACAAATGAAAATAAGTGTGATAATATGAATGATGCATTTACATACTATTAATTCACTGTTACCAACTTTTTATGAAGTTGAAAAACAACAGCAGAGTCTTATCTAGAAATTATCTGTTGAGAGAAAAACAATAAACAAAAAATCTAGATAATTTATAGTGCATAAGCCAGAAATCCCAAATTAAGACTAATCACCATAAAATTTTTTAATAAATAGACAAAAATAACACATAATAACTATTTTATAAATTACACTTAATAATTTAATATTTTTAATCAGTTTTTTTAAGTGTAATTTTTTATGAGTTATAGTTTGGTCTGTATTTAATTTACGTTCACTTGGCATATATGAAAAATAAATGAGATAATAACAAAGTCAAACAAATTTACCATGTCTATCATATATATCAACATATTAAACAATCACTGTAAGATCTTTGGTAGAACCCATTGCTGATTACAAGAACATCCAATATAACTGAAGCTTAATACAGTCTCTTAAGGAAGGAATTACTAGTTTCTTTTTAATTTGTTCTCAGCAATATGTGCACATTTTTCTGTTTATTTGGAGTTTCCTCAATTTTGTTTTTAATCTGTTGGTTTAGAAACTAGGAGGGTTATCTTATACAATCAATGAGTTGCACATGTGAAATGCAAGCTAAAATTTGGTTTGTCTTATAAATGAAATTGTACTTTGAATTTGCAAATTTTTAAGTTGGCTCACAGATTTTGTAGTCAAGCACAAACTATATATATAAATACACGAAAAAAAAAAATGAAAACTACTAACTTTTTGCTGTAAGTTGGTACTAGTGTACTTAATTTTCACATGAATTTGTAGCACCATCTGCCAACCAGTTTATTACAACTATTAGTTTTGTCATTGAATATGAAGTGTGCTTTGCAATTTTCAAAATGGACAAAAAATATCGAACAAAGAGTTTGTCTAAAATTGTGTGATGCCAACGAAATTTCTTGTACTGAGTCATTGAAAATGTTGCAGAAGGCCTATGGCGAATCATCTTTATCCAAAACACATGCATACAAGTGGCATTTAAAGATGGCCGAGAAGAGGTGGAAGACTTGTCTATTTCTGTTTGTCCGTCAACATCTTCAACTGACGAACATATTGACAAAGGGAAGGAAATGGTGATAGAAAATTGTAATTCGTGCTTAAGAGATGGCTCAGAATCTAAACATCTCACGAATCCATTTGCACCAATTTAGTGGATGTTTTGGGCATGAAACACATTGCAGCACAACTTGTTCCAAAGGAGCTGAATTTTCTTCAAAAACAGCATCAGAAAAAGGTTTCCAAAGATGTGCCTGAATGAGCCAATTCCAACCCCGCATTCATGAAACGCATCATAACAGGTAATGAGACATGGGTTTATGAATTTGACATGCAAACCATCCAGTAAGCTTTGGAATGATGTTTTGAAAGTGAGCCAAAACAAAAAAAAACCATGTCAAAGTCACTCAAAAATCAAAGTCATGTTGAATGTTTTCTTTGACTGTCATGGTATTGTCCACTCAGAATTTCTTCCAGAGGGACAAACAGTCAACAAACAATATTACCTGGGTGTTATGAGGTGTTTGAGAGAGAATGTTTACCAGAAAAGGACAGATTTGTGGAAGAACAATTCTTGAATGTTGCATCATGATAATGCACCTTCTCACACATCAATCCTTGTATGCACATTTTTAACCAAAAATGCAACAAATATCATCAACCAAGCACCATATTCACTACATATGGCTCCGTGTGACTTTTTCCTCTTCCCCAAACTCAAATTACCACTTTGTGGAAAACGTTTTGAGTCGATTGACAAAATAAAATTTGCAGAAGGGAGCTGCAGGCCATACCAGAAAGCACTTATAAGAAGTGTTTTGATGACTAGATTGTTCGTTGGAAGAAGTGTATTGCATCAAATGGGGTCTAATTTGAAGGCAACAAAATAAATTTGGATGATTAAACCAATATTTTGTATTTTAGTTAATAATTTCCAGTATTTATTTGACAGAATGTATACAAGGTCTGTTCAAAAAGTATCGGACCTTTGGTCGGTAAAAATAAATGTATTGACTTTGAGATACAAAACCCTAATCCCCTTAAAAGTAGTCTCCTTGGTAATGTATACACTTCTTTCAACGTTCCTGCCATTGCTGGAAACACTGCTGGAACGCATCTTTTGGAATGGCTATCAGCCGCTCCGTCGGATTTTGCACGATGTCTTCTCTCGACTAAATTCGGGTTCCTTTTAGCGGCATTTTCAGCTTGGGAAATAGCCAAAGGTCACACGGAGCCATGTGGAGAGAGTACGGAGCGTGACGAACCACAGGAGTATTGTGTTTGGCGACGAAAGCCCGAATCAGATGCGCAGAATGGGCGGATGCGTTATCACGATGGAGCTGCCAAGTTTTGATCGACCACAGATCCGGTCGTTTGCGTCGCACTGTATCGGAAAGACGACGAAGGACCTCCTGGTAGTACTCCTTTGCGATGGTTTGGCCTTGTGGTGCGTACTCACGACACACCACCCCACGAGAGTCGAAAAAACTGTCAACATGACCTTTGATATTGCTGCGGACCTGCCGCGCTTTTTTTGGCCTCGAGGATCGTCCCCGAAAGCCTGCTGAATCTTGCGAATGGTTTACGCTCGGGTATCGCCAAGGTTTTTGGCAAAATTTGATGTAATATCGCTGCTCACGTTGTTCAATCATTTTCCAGCTTAGTGGAATCCGACGAGAGCGCACTACATGACCTCACTCATAGGCCGATTGCCAACGACTGACGCTTCCTGCAGGTGGGAAAAAATTCAGGGTTGTGCATGACTGTCCCCTCCACAACTCCACCGAAGAAGGCCTGTCGGGCATCATTGGTTTACACAGAAAAAATAAAAGTCCGATACTTTTTGAACAGACCTTGTATATGTGTATTGTACATGTGTTCATTTGCTTTATAGTTACTCTATGTTATTGTACTTTCATAAAACTTAAATTAACATATCAAAGTAAGTAATACGAATACTGCTCTCTCATGCTTCTAATAATTAAGTGTACAATAATACATTTACAATCTTATATCCAATATTTTTGAATGCACTTTCTAGATCAAGGATGAAGTAAAAAAAAATTTTTCACATTTTGTATAATTAAATTAATAAAATAAGATTTCATAAGATTATACTATATAACTAAAAAGAATTAATAATGACAACTAACATTCGCCTCTGTTATCAGGAACAAAACAAATTTCTGACATTTTTTCATCCTCATCTTCACCTTCTTCTACACCATCATCTATTAAACAAATTGTCATTAAACATTTAAATAAATAATCAGTCTGTATAACTCATATTAATGAATTATTAAATATTTTTAAATAATTATGTAATAGATATTTACAATCTAGAATGTTTATACATGACAAATCAATGAATTACTTTTTATTATTAAACAAAACACTTGCAAAATGTTAATCTTCATTTATTAGAGGATCATCATTTTTGCCACATTTGCTTAAGGCCTGTTTATGCAAAATGCAGATGACTGCAATTGGATTTATGAACAATTGTACACAAAAATTCTCAATTTTGAATAAAACTTGAATTTGTTCAATGACAAGCTAAGAGTGAATGCTTTTAAAGCTATTGAAATCAGTTTATATCAAATTCACAGTCCAAGTAAAAACTGCAAGGAATAGACATATGTCTGATTTCCATTTACAACTCAAGGTAAGTTTTAACACAGCTCCAATTCATACCTAAATAGGATATTTTCACAATTTCTTTTGATTTGTAGTTTTTATTTGTTTATGCTCTTGGAAACTTTATAAAAATATAATAAAAGTATACTGTAAACTGAATGAGATGGCAATTAAAATAAAGCATTAATAGGATAAAAACACAAAAGTAAATTAGTACAGTGATACCTCAGTTTTCGTTCACTTCAGTTATCGTTGGTTTTGTCAATTTTTTTTTTGTGAAAAATTTGTCTCGGTTTTTGTTGGTTGCCTTGGATTTTGTCAGCGTGTGCACATGACCGCACTGCTAATTTTACAAAACCACGTGTTTTCCTGCTCAGTGTGGCATTGTTTCTCGTTTCTCATTACCCCGAGTATCTTGTCAAACAATGGGTGTATTCAAAATCTCAGCATGCAGCCAGCACCTCTCTTCAAAATCTCAGATAACTTCCGGTTGCTGTCACCAAAAAAAATGCAGCAAACTGCAAGCATCTTTTTTGGTGCTTGATACACCAGCAAATAAGATGGCAGCCACCACAAGGCTTGTAAGAGCTCTATTTTGCATTGACAATTTTGAATTTAATTTATTTGTTGATGAATAAACCCTGAATAAATTAATATTCAGTTAGTACATTAATAGAATATTTTAATATACTAGTATATTTATGTATGACATCACATAATTTTTTTTTAGTTGTTAAAGTATAATCTTACGATTGATTTAATTATTTAAAACTCCTGCAGAAATTTTTAAAATCTTTATCTCTATTTTAAAATTTTTATTTTTCAATAAGCTGTTCTAATTAAATAAGTCAAAAATAAATTTAATGTAACCTGGAAGTCCACATCATTTGCCATTTTTATTGTTTTTCTCTCCCAAAATTCCCAGCAGTTAGTGTTTGTGTTCTCTAGAAAATGCCAGCAGTTGCATCACTTCTGGCAGCATCTCACTGGATTAATGCTGAGATTTTGAATACGCCCAATTTCATTGTTTTCCTTTCCTTTTAGCTCGATCTTGGGAAATTCCATGTTGAACGTTCATTTATTCTTTACATTACTCTTTCATATTCATTTTATATTAATTTCTTATTGTTTTTATTATTACACATTATATTTATTCTTTGTAAAATATGGTTTTGGGTACGTACAAGGTCTGTTCAAAAAGTATCGGACCTTTGGTCGGCAAAAATAAATTTATTGACTTTGAGGAACAAAACCCTAATCCCCTTCAAAGTAGTCTCCTTGGTAATGTATACACTTCTCCCAGCGTTTCTGCCATTGCTGGAAACACTGCTGGAACGCATCTTTTGGAATGGTTATCAGCCGGTCCGTCGCATTTCGCACGATGTCTTCTCTCGACTAAATTTGGGTTCCTTTTAGCGGCATTTTCAGCTTGAGAAATAGCCAAAGGTCACACGGAGCCATGTGGAGAGAATACGGAGCGTGACGAACCACAGGAGTATTGTGTTTGGCGACGAAAGCCCGAATCAGATGCGCAGAATGGGCGGATGCGTTATCACGATGGAGCTGCCAAGTTTTGATCGACCACAGATCCCATCGTTTGCATCGCACTGTATCGGAAAGACGACGAAGGACCTCCTGGTAGTACTCCTTTGCGATGGTTTGGCCTTGTGGTGCGTACTCACGACACACCACCCCACGAGAGTCGAAAAAACTGTCAACATGACCTTTGATATTGCTGCGGACCTGCCGCGCTTTTTTTGGCCTCGAGGATCGTCCCCGAAAGCCTGCTGAATCTTGCGAATGGTTTACACTCGGGTATCGCCAAGGTTTTTGGCAAAATTTGATGTAATATCGCTGCTCACGTTGTTCAGTCATTTTCCAGCTTAGTGAAATCCGACGAGAGCGCACTACATGACCTCACTCATACGCCGATTGCCAACGACTGACGCTTTCTGCAGGCGGGAAAAAATTCAGGGCTGTGCATGACTGTCCCCTCCACAAATCCACCGAAGGAGGCCTCTCTCGCATCATTGGTTTACGCGGAAAAAAATAAGGTCTCCCCTCCACAACTCCACCGAAGGAGGCCTCTCTCGCATCATTGGTTTACGCGGAAAAAAATAAGGTCCGATACTTTTTGAACAGACCTTGTATTTTGGAGTGTCTAGAACAAATTAATTGTTTACATTGATTCATATGGAAATAAATGCCTCAGTTTTCGTCAGTTTCGGATTTCACCAATTGTTTTTGGACAGATTATTGATGAAAACCGAGGTATCGCTGTAATAGAATGTAAAAATCAATAATTCAACAGTGAAGTAAATGTAGTTCATCTTTTCTGCAAAAATAAAATTTAAAAAATATAATAATTAAAATAATAAAAATCCTTAAAAAATCAAAGTTTGAACCCAGAACAGTCATAGGATAAGGACTTTTAGACTGATGTTACCACTACATGCTTGCTCTTACAATCATCAATGCTCCAGAACATACAAATCCAATATAATTTAAAACTGGTTCCTTTTATATCAAAACTGTTTACAACTGAGGAATTCTGACTGGGCTGCAATTTGAAAAAATTATGGCCTATAAATTCCCACTCTCGTCAGTCTGTCCATCTGTGTGTCTTTCCTTAACCTCAAGAACAGATTTAGATAGATGAAAGCCAAGACCAGATATGGAAAGATTAGGGACAAGAAGCCCCAATTAATTATATGAACTTCCGGTGCAAACCAGAAGTCGCATTATTTCAATTCAAAATTTTCCCCTGAAAGGAGTTAGATAGATGACTGGCACGACTCCATTGTTAGTGGGAAAGAATGATGTACAGGAGCAAAACACTACAAATTTGAGGTGAAGTGCATATATTTTAAATTAAAAAATTATTAAAAATTGCAGCCCAACATTGTAACAATGTCACAATAAATAATTATTACTTATAACTTATGTCACATAAATTTTTATTTTAAACAGGAAATATTTACAAGTTGAATAGTCAGTTTGTGGTCTTCCATTGTTAGTCATCATTAAACTGTAAAGATCATCTGATAAGTGAAGTAATGCTATGTTCATCCAAAAAGTAAAAAACAAGATATTAGGAATCATCCATACTAACTAGTAAAAATAGTTGATTAAATATCTTTGAAAAAAGTACATTCTCATTTAGAAACATTTTTATATACTAAAATAAAATCAATATAATCTGCAGACAATATATTAGCCAAAATTATCATCTGAAACAGAATATTAAAATCATTTTTGAAGAGAAAACATTTCAAAAACAGCAAAACTAAAAAAAAGAATATGTTTATTCATTGAACTTAAAAATAAATAATACTTTAAAATAAAATTAATTTATCTTATGTTTCAGACTGTGGATAATTTGATTAATTAGGATAAGAATTTATAGACAACAATAATCATAAATAAAATCATATAAAATAAACATTATGAAAATGTTTTATTTTTGATAGCATTATAATTTATCTGTAATTATTTAAATTTCTATTTGTAATGCAAAGGGATATACCTGATTCATTTATCTGGGCAGTAATCATTAAATAAAGACATTCATCAGGAAATGCATTCACATCTCTTGTGACACCATGAAGAGCAATAGCAGGATATTCTATCGAAAATCCTTGTCCGTGTTCACCAACCCATGAAACACGACTAAAACAAACAAAATAAAATTGTGTATTATATATTAAATGTGTTTTAAAAATTTATTTTTCAAATTTTGATTCATTTATTAATTTGCAAAATATATTTTGCATACAGAACAACTTATACATACATATATATATCAATCAATAAATAAATGATAATCAATAAATGAAAATATTTATTCTAAAAATAAATCTCTATTTTAGATGATTGTTTACATAAAAACAATCTTACATTAATTTAATAAAATCATCATCTTATTCAATTCTAAAAGAAAATACTTGTATAATCTAAGTTTAAAACAGAATGCAAGAAAAAATTAAAACACAATAAAATTTTGTGTTTTAATTCCTTTTTTCTTTGTATTGTTTTCAGTTAAGAGGAAATGAAACACTTTAAAATTAGTCAAGATAAGAATTTTAGGAAAAAAGGTTTTCACAACTATACAATTTTGTTCTGAATGAAATGACAAATAATAAATTAGTAAAATTAAATGTTGAAGTTTAATCTGTTGTTTATTTTAAAATGATTGATGCTAATTCATGATAAACTCACAAATGCTAACAACAATCTGTTTTTATCACAGTTTTGATGCACTTAAATATGAATTACAAAACTAAGTATTATTTCCAAATAAAATTTTTATTATGTAAAAATCTAATTGCTAATTATAAAGTTAAAGTAAGCATATATGATCAGTTTTTAAAACAAAAATTTGAGGAAACAAAGTCTTGTTTCTTCTATTACACTTCTCTTATTTAACAGACTAATTCATCAACTCTTGCAATCAACATTAATAATGTTAATACCCAGTAGTTTATTTTAGATGAACTTTTGTCAGTTTATACAAGGTTATTTTTTAAATTTGGAAACAATTTAGCTAATAAATTTGTTAAAGTTTGCAGTGTGCATGTAGAGATAGCATCAACTCTTGAAAATATATAACTACGTAATCACATTTTTTTTAAACTTAAGACTGGAAGAAGTTTAGCTTATAGTTCAGATAATTTAACTGGCATATGATTGTATAATACACTGTAATTTATCTGTAATTATTTATAAAATAAAAAAAAATGTTGCCAGTAGTTTCATACAGTGGGCCCAATAGACTTTTTTTTAAAAACATCTAAATTTATTAAAGTAAAGCAGTTAGCTGATTAGTAAAATGAGTAATAATGATAATTGAGATAATCAATGATTGACAATCATCAATGAATTTATTAACTTGGTTATTTCTAAATTTAAAAAATAACATAGATTAAGTAAAAAGGAAATTTTTCTGAGTTATTTTGACCAACAAAAAATTCATTTCTTTCTTGAAAATGTATGTTCTCATCATCAGTTCTCTCTGTAAAATATGGACAGATTGGCCATAAATGGATTTTCAACATTGAAATATATTAGCTATTATATCGTTTCAGTTTTAAAGAAAACTTCATCTGCACTATTTGAACCAGATTAAAAAAAATTAAAGTTTTTCATTTTAGAATTATCTATTCTGAACCTTTGCTTCTGAAGCTATTCTGAAGTATGTCTACTGGTTAGGCTAGCAAAGTCTGAATCACTAAAGAATCTGAAGAGATTAAAAAAGAACTTAACTACATATCTTGAACTTCAAGTTTGATTTACCTTCTTTATAATCAATTTCATTAATAAAACAATTTTAAAATCAATTTCTATTTAATTAATGCCAATTATATCATATTCAATTAACTAGCAAACTTCAATGCATCTAAAATGATTAATATCTTTAGTTTTTCATTCATCACTTAATATAATTCAATAAAGGTAAAATATGAAACAATTAATACTTATAAATGAAGATTTAAATGAAAAGTTTTTTTATTATTATGAAAGACACTATTCTGAAAAACAAACAAAATATTTTTGCTAAATGTGGCATTTATATAATAGTTATAAATATTTTAATTTTGCAAAATTCAAAATTACTGTAATTCAATATATAGTTTAAAACTTTATAGTCTAGTCAAATTTCAGGCTTTGAATTGTGAACAATTACCAACAGCATATATAACCAACAGGATTAATTAGATTAGTGAACTTTATGATGGTCAATACAGGATATAAATGTCTGACAAAATAGATTGATACAGAGGACACATAATTTTTAGAATGTTTGTTTATATTAAATATATTCTATTAGTTTGATTTACAGTTATTTGTATTTTCTCAATTACATTAATATAACAGGTCCCATAATCTTCATAATCACTAAATTGAAAAGAAAATTCAACAGGATTAATTAGATTAGTGAACTTTATGATGGTCAATACAGGATATAAATGTCTGACAAAATAGATTGATACAGAGGACACATAATTTTTAGAATGTTTGTTTATATTAAATATATTCTATTAGTTTGATTTACAGTTATTTGTATTTTCTCAATTACATTAATATAACAGGTCCCATAATCTTCATAATCACTAAATTGAAAAGAAAATTCAACAACACACCTTCAATTGTCATATATCACCGGGCTCTAATTTGGTAATAATAATTATAAATTACTAATGAATTTAATTATTATGCCTTTTTGTCCTTTTTAATTATTTATAATTTATTTTGTATACTAGTACTTTCTATATATTAACAGGACTTATTATACTAGAAAATTATGGATGCAGATATCTAGTTTTACAGTTCAAAAATAATGTTCTTTTTTTAGTTCACCTGAACTAAAAATAAGTCCTGTTAATATATAGAAAGTACTAGTATACAAAATAATTATAAATACTAATGAATTTATTTGACCCTAGAGGAAGATGTTACGCACCATCTTGTAATAAATTTAATAATTAGAATTTAAATAAATAATTTTAGATTAAATTGGAAGAAAAGAATGTTAAGATGTTTATATATATATATGTGTGCCTTGCTGGGTATGCGATGGCCGACTGAGTGCCTTGAGTGGGAGTTTACAGGACAAGGGCGCTGAATATGTCCCCAGTCGGCACTATATTAATGGTTATATCTTTACGGTTAAATATACTGGAAGAGGAGATTGGACCTGAGGTCCAGGTAACATAACCGGCAATGCATCCACATGGTAAGCGGCAGTTACTGTGGGTTCAAGTCCTGCTCCAGGCCAATTCTTTTCTTCCAATTTAATCTAAAATTATTTTTAATTAAATTCTAATTATTAAATTTATTATGAGATGATGCCTAACGTCTCCCTCTAGGGTCAAATTCATTAGTAATTTTTAATTATTATTACCAAATTATAGTTCAATGACATACAGAAACTGAAGGTTTGTTATTGTATTGTTGTTAAGATGTTTATATTTATAGAAAATTCAATATTTGAAATTTAAAATTTTATTTTAAAACAAATATTACATTGTAAAAACTTAATAAATTACATTAATTATTTTATATGATATGCATAAATATATTGCATTTATATATAAGTTAATGCTGCATGTACACTTATATATAAGTTAATGCTTGAAATTTGCACAAATTATAACACTTAAATTACACGAATTTAAAAATATCTCAATTTAGGACACTTTTGTGTTATTTTTTTTAAATATTTGAATATGCTTTACCTTTCTGCTATATATAATGTTCCTTTTCCCAAATCCTTAGATTCAACATGTACTGTTGTATTTGGCTGAGTATGACGAATTCCTTCAGTTGGAGGTGGAAAACTTGTTAAAACTACCATCTTTTTCTTTTAATCTAAAAAAAAAAACATACTAAATTTATTCATGAAGTTTTGGGTATTATTGTTATATTTTAAATTTATAATTTAAAATAGCTGATATTGTAAGAAAATAAATGGAACTGCACAAAATTTTAAACATCTAATTAGCAAATAATTTTTAATTAATCCTGTTTAAGTGAATCATTAATGAAATAAATTATAAAAACTGGATTAAAAATTAAATGGTTATTTTTGATGTATGTAACATATGTAAACATGACAATCTCGCAATATTTATAGTTTACTAGCTTACCCGTCGCGCATTGCTGCGATCTCAGAAGAAAGGAAATTTAAGCAAACTTGTTATGACAAAATTCAATTTACATTTTATAATTTTTATTAAAACTTATTATTATTACATTATTATTTCGAGTCGATATTAAAATTTGAAAAGGGGAATACCTAGATCGGTAAAATACGCAAATTTCGTCTTACAACTTCGGTTGTTGTTCGGGGTACAGTTGAGGTTTTAACGAAGTTCAAGCGAATACATAATTAGCAAAAAAAAGTTGAAATAAAGTGATTAAACAAAAATTATTATAAATATCGTAAATAACAGTTGACAAATGCATATATAGAGATATTTTTTGAAGGGGGAAATGGTCTTCACAATTTGAAATCGATCGAACACACTGTGCGCGAATGCTCGTGTAAACGCGCGCCATCTATCGTAGGATAAATGTACTTCGCGGGAGTGTATTAAAAAATTAAAAAAACTTTCCAAAGTTTCATGGTAATCGTACTATGCCACAAACCTTCGCCGGAGTATATTAAACAACTTCCCAAAGTTTCACGGCAATCGGATAAACGGTGTGGTAATGCATGAAGGACAGACAGACACACACACACACACA